ATTTCAAAAATTTGGCTTTTACTCTGAGTCACCCTTGGGAGCCAAGGGATGGTTCTGAGCAGAGGAGGGACATGACCTGTTAAAGGTCTTGCAAGGGTGAATCTGATTGCTCTGCCCTTGGGCTGGTTCAGGACACCAGAGTCTGACCCATAGAAGGTGTTCAACACACCTGGGTACATCCTGTCAGTGCATCCTTGAAGAAGACAGGTGACAGTCCAGGCCAGCTGGGGAGAGGGGGACATTGCAGGCAGGAGGAAGCCCATGGTGGTGAGAAGGCACAAGGTGCTCACTGTGGGTCTCATGAGCTAATGGGAGGACAGGGCCGGGCGGGGGCTCACATCAGCCTTTAGGGCAGAACTCTGCCTCCTCGGTTCTGCTCTACCTTTTGGGGTCCTAGGGCAGGGCCATTCTGGAGGCCTAGCACCCCCACCTCTGGCTCCCCAGAGCTTATCGCTCATGCATTTTGGCTTCCTGGAAAACAGGAGTCTTACACTTCCTAAGAGTAACTAGAAGCTGCTTATCAGGGGCTGGTGGAATATGCGCCCCCTCCTCCCAGGAGTATTCTAGAAAAAGTCCCAGGGGTTAGGAAACCTCCATTCAGCCTTCCAGGTGCCGAGTGAAGTTGGTGTCTCCCCTTTACCATCAGCCCCCATTTCCTCACCTGTAAGGAAGAGGAGGCACTGTCAAACAGCTCATGTGGCCTCGCTGAGAAAGGGCTTAAGACCACGCACAAAGGTACCTCCACCTGCGAGCCACCTCCCTGTTGTGCCTGTGGAATGAGGGGTCCGGGCAGCAGTGGGCAGTGTCTGGGGCAAGGGGCTAGGCAAAGGTCCAGCACATCCTGGGGAACTGAGGCTGAGCCCCAGCCCCCAGGCAAGGGAACCGCAGACTGTAAGGAAAAGTCAAAGGTCCACCCTAAAGGCTGACAAGAGACAGAGATTATGAGAGGACCCTAAACGCTTGGATGCGACCTTGTTAGAGGGAGGGGGCGGGGCCTCCTGTCCTCACTTCCATTGGAGGGGAAGAAAGGGTGTCCACCCAGCCGGCTGGGGGGACCTCTGCCCACCTGTGCATGTTTAACCTCCCACTTGGCCTGCCAGTATGACCTCGGCCATGAAATGGACTTGGATTTGAGCTGGCCCTCAGGTCGGGGCTGGGGACGAGGTCACCTTGTACTCCCTGCCCGGAGTTCTGCTCGCTTTAACTGTGCGCCGACAGATAAGCTGCAGGGCTGTTTCCAAACCTCCCGCCGAGGGCACGAGGAGGAGGCTGGTTGGTCGCTTCCTCCGCTGCTGCCGGGGTTGTAGGGCCGGGCAGGGACCGAGTTCTCTGCCACTCCTGATTGCGGCCGGGAGAGAGGTGGCCGAGCCGGATAAGCAGCGGCGGGCTGGCCGGAGGCCACCTCCCGCGCAGCTCCTGCCCCCGCGGGTGGGCGGGGCGCGGGCAGAGGAGGAGCCTGGGAGCGAGCCACCGCCTCCGCCTCGGACCTGCAGCCACTGCCGCTGCACGGAGCGGCGGGCCGCGGAGGTGAGTGACCTTCCCTGTCGCCGTGCGCTGCGCCGCGTTACCGGGACCCCAGCCCATCTCCCACCCAGTTGCACCCCGAGCCATCGCCACTCGCCTGGCGACCTCCATGCTTTAGGACCGAGCCACGTGCGACCGGTAGTAGAAGAACCCGGTCCTGGTTCCCCACCCGGTGCGCTTCCTCTTCTAGGGACAGAAGCCGCGCGCACCGGGCGGGGTGGGCAGGGCCAGGGACCGAACTGGGGAGAAGCAGGCGATCAGAGTTCGGGGTGCACCTCTAAGCGCCCTTCCTGGCGGCCCCCAGCCGAGAGCCTTCCGCATGCCCTCAGGCTCTGTGCAGCCGGTCCCCGGGGAGGGCGGGCAGCCATGGGCGGGACCTTCCTGGATCTTCCTCTCCTGGCCCTTGGCTCCAGCACAGTCCCAGCAGGGGCGCGGGACCTTGGTCCAGAGGAGGCTGGACTGCCCAGTGCCCGCCCCTGCCCAAAGAGCCCTTGCCTGGGAAGTTCCCCCTCCTATCCAGTTCCCTGAAATTTGGGGGCAGGCTGCCCGGAGAGGTGTGATTGGAACTTTGGTCACTCTGGCTAGATGAAGGAGGGTGCGACTGGCAGTTTTTTCGTGTGGGAGTCAGGAGGCGCAATCTGCCGGGAAAAGGAAAATTCCCACAGGTTCTTTTGAAGCCCTGGCAGAGGGCAGGAGGGTGTTCGGAGCCACTTCTGCGACAGGCTCCAGAAGTGGGGTTCTGGAAATGCCCCAGGGAAGTATTTCTGTCCATCAGAGTGCAGTCATGATATAATTAATAGCAAACATTTATTGCACATTTATGTGTTCCAGGCCTCTTGCTAAGGGCTCTGCACACAGTATCCCAGCTAATCATCACAGCAGGAAGGCATCTTTATTATCTCTTGTTACAGATGGAGATGCTGAGCCTCAGCGAGCCTGGGTATTTTGCAAAGACACTCAGTTAGCAAGTTGCACAAGATTTGAACCCTGATTTATCTGACTTGGGAGCCAGGAGGAGCCTACTAGTGGAGAGGGACAGGCTGGGTCCTCAGAGGATCCTGGCAGTCCAAAGAATGCAGTGCTAGAGGCCAGCATGTCCACAAGACCAAAGGGTCTCAATGGGTGTGCCCCCTCAGTCACCTGGAGGCTCTGTTAAAAAATGCCAATCTGGACTGGGGCTGTAGCTCAGTGGAAGTGCACTTACCTAGGATGTGTGAGGCACTGGGTTTCATTCTCAGCACCACATATGAATAAATAAAGGTCCATCGACAACTAGAAAATATTGTTTAAAAAAATGCAAATCCCCAGGTCCCACATTCAGTGGATGGAATCAGTCAGGTGCACCTGGAGGGCCTGGGCCCACCTCTACAGCAGGTTGCAGAGGAGCTGTTGGGAGCAGGTGCTTCAATGTCTGATGGATAAGTGGATATAGTGGGGTAGAAGGTGTCTCTGGGAGAGGAGGAGGAGGAGAAGGCTCTCTGAGAGGCCTTCAGTGGTGCACAGGTGGCCTCAACCAGGCAACCTGGGAGGAAGGTATGGAGTTGACATCAGGTAATGCTGGCCTTAGAGCCCACAGGGAGTTTTTAGGCCAGATCCCTGGTCAGTCACTTGAGAGTTGAACAGCCTTAGCCCAAGCCTTTTGAGATCTTGGGGGATCCTGTTAAGGTCTTGGTCAAGCTGTGACCACAGATGTGCCCTGTCCAGCCTAGAGACGTCAAATAGGTGGATTCCTCTCCCATTCATGTTTCCCGTCCTTTGTCCCATAGCCCTTTCCTCCCTGAACTTATCAGAGAGCAGAGTGATAGGCAAATTAAAAAGTGAAAGTTTCTGACAAAGTCCAAAGTGGAACACCTGAGCACCAGGTTGGGGAAGTGGTAGCTGACTGCCTATAGGGCAGAGAGCCTGAATCTCAGCTGTCAGTGAAGTCTTGAACTTGTTTCTTCATCCCATCAAGCAGGGATGATGATGGCTGCCTGTGGGTTCACTGTGTGGAGTGTTGGGTTGTGGAAATGTTATGAGATATCAGGCCCTCTCTCTTCCCCTAGGATATGTGCATTAATCCAATGGGACTTTACAGGCTCATTGCTTTTTCAGTCTGAACCCTGGGTTCCCTGGAAAAGGTAACTGAAGCCCAGAGAGTGACCTCCAAGATTCTCTTTGTGGCAGAGCTGGCTCCAGCTCCAGGGTCCAGAGTTGCCAGCTCGAAATCTTGGCCAGTGCCTCTCAGCCTGGAGCAGAAGTCTGCTTCATTCCTTGTCCACGCTGCAGAGGAGAAGCTCAGTGGGCTAGGGTGGTCTTCAGACAGCTGGGGTGCAGTAGGAAGCAGGCCATTCAGGAACTTGGGTTCCTCTGCCTTTCAGCTACGACTGGATGCACCTCTTCTTGCCCTCTCTACCATGCCTACTTGCCAGGAAGTCCTGGGCTGGGCAGGTGGGAGCTAAGCTAAGCCTGTATGTAACTGGTTTCTAGTTTGGGAATCAGAAATGTCCCCCTTGATTTAAAAGGAGGAAGTCTGCCAATTTCAGTAGTTATTAAAAATCTAAGGCCAAATTGGCTGTATTCTTCCTCCTGGAAGTTAAAGGAGCATGTGCCTCTTCCACACCCCGGCCCCCCAAGCCCCCATCCCATTTCAGGAGACTATGGTGATAATAGAACTTGGAGACAGGAAGGCAGAGGATGGGGCAGGTGCTCTGGGTGGAATGCAAACATTTGACTATAGAAGTTTCACTTCCTCCTGGCTGCCCCCTGCTACCTAGGCCCACCCACCTATCCAACTCTACCTCTCAAGGTTCCCAAACCTCTTTGCATTTCCTCTGTCAGCCCTTCACACACCCCCGACATCATACGTGAAATGCAGTCCTCACCCTTGCCATTCAGCCTCCCATGTGCCAGGCCCCGGACCAAGCAGAGAACAGGCATGAGCTCATTTGTTCCTCCAAACTCTTAAGAGATGGATAATGCTGTTCTCCCAACCACATAACGCTCTCAAGGACAGATGAGATTCCAGTCTCTTCTTTCAACCCCAGTCCTGAGACTCCTAACCACTTAACTATATGCCTATCCAAATTCTGCTTCATCTTTTATTCATTCAACAAACACTTACTGAGCACTCACTTTGTGCCAGGTACTCTGAGCCCCACTTCTGGCAGGGTGAATGTCACAGCCATCATTTGTCACTCCCAGAGGCTCTTACCATCTACATATTTTTTAATACAAGTAAGGAAACAACCTCAGAGAGGCCCAGGACCCACAGCTATTGTGAGCCAGGATCCAAAATCAGAGACAGCACCTCCCCACCCCCAAGTTGGAGATATTGACTGCTGTGTTGCTTCCAGGGTCGATGGATGCTAGTGAATCATAAACTGCATGGTTTCTCAACCCAGGACAGAGTGTCTCCCTCCTATTCAAGTGTGGCCAGCTCTCCAGAAACATTGCTCTGAGTTGTCGATGGTTCAGTTGTTTCAGTACCACAGAAACCCTGTCTGTGGAATTCTTCCATACTAAACTCTTCCCAGTCGGTCTGCCCTCGTACATCACATCGTCACCTGCAACAGGTGAGCACAACTTGTTCTGTAATCAGGTGGTAAATTTTTCCTACCTCCATCTTCCACTTCATGACAGGTAGTTAGATTCTAACCAAGCAGAGCAATTTTGTCTTGGATATTAGGAATTGAACTCAGGGGTGCTTTGCCATTGAGCTACATCCCCAGCCCCTTTAATGTTTTATTTTGAGGCAGGTTTTTACTAAGTTGCCTGAGACCGGCCTTGAACTTGCAATCCTTCCTCTGCCTCCCAAATTGCTGGGATTACAGACATTCACCACCATGCCTAGCTGCATATTTTAAATAATTTCTTACTGTGCTGGGGATGGAACTCCGGACATTGAGTATCCTAGGCAAATGCTCTGCCATTCAGTTCACCCCCAATGTCAAACAGCTGGTTTTTAAGCCTTTTTGAGCGGTAAGATTAGGAGATTAAACTGGAAAAAAAAAAGTTACAATACCAAGATTATAACACCAATTAGTGGTATAAATGTAATGGAATGTGGAGGGGCCTGCTAATCTTTTTTTTTTTTTTGGTACCAGCGATTGAACCCAGGGGCACTTAACCACTGAGCCACATCCACAGTCCTTTTTTGTATATTATTTAGAGACAGGGTCTTACTGAGTTCTTTAGGGACCTGCTAAGTTGCTGAAGCTGACTTTGAACTCACAATCCTCCTGTCTCAGCCTCCCAAGCCCCTGGGATTTTAGGCGTGTGCCACCAGGCCTGGCACCGCTAATCTTATCATGGGGGAGTAGGCTGCCTAGTTCACTTGCAGACAGTAGGGCTCCTAAGGCTGGTGGGCTGGGGTCTGGGATGGAGGGACCCCTCCTGTTACTATAGGCATTGTGGGATGGCTGTCAGGCTGTGGGGAGGTGGTGGTACCCACAAACGGAAAGGAAAGAAGCAATATGGTCTAGACCTGGCCATCAAGGATTGTGATGCAAGAGTCAGAGGTGGCTGCCATCTAGGAAAGCCAGACCCTCCCGTTGTCCTAGTTCAGAGAGCTGCAGGGTGGAGACCACATGCTCTGCTGTTGAGAGTTCCAGTGTGGCTGCTTTTTGTTCTTTCTTGCTACAACTCCTGTTGAACATCTGGCAGGGATATCTGGAATACCAACAGGAGAGGGCTTTCAAGACCCTGGAGCTCAGGGTGCAGCAGGGTCTCAGAACTCCAGGAGAGTTCTGACCTGGGACTTTGGGGTGCTTGCAAGCCCCTTTCCACTCGAGTCTGGGGGCTGTGTTTTCTAGGGAAGTATGGCTTCTGCACAGGGTGGCTTCTCCAAGGGAATACAGAGAGCACCCAGCAACTTTGATAGGAACGCAGAGCCCTGAACCTCTCCCCAGTCTACTGAATCAGGGACTCTGGGCTTGGAACTGCCTGCACACCTGCCCCCGAAGCTCTCTGGGCAATCTCAGTGGATTCCAGGGTTCTCGAATGTCTGAAAGCTCTGCTTGAGCTTCATTGACTTAACAGGCATCTGCCATCCTCACAGGGAGCAGAACATGAAGGCTGTGGGGCGGTGTAGACGTGCAGGGGTGAGGGACGTGCAGGTCCCTGCCCTCAGCTGACACAGTGGGGTGATGGTAGTGCACCCACAGCCACAGAGGGGGAGGAGTTCAGAGCCACACGTGGTAGGTGGTAAGTGGTCCCCAAAGAGCAAGGACATGAGCAGTATCATCAGAAGAGAGAGGGAAAGCAACCTGTCCAACATCACAGTAACAGGTGGCTGAATCAGGCCTATCTAGTAGCCACCAACTAACACAGCTGCCTCTCTGAATTCAGAGTGGGAGAGATTGTTGGGAGGCTCTTAGAGGACTGGCAGGCACCATATGTGCCCAAGAGCTTGGAATAGATCTTCAAGGAAGGGGGATTGGTATGGGCCAGGAAGTGGAAGTAATTGGCTAAACTGGAGAGGAAGCAGGGGACTGGAAGGAGGGTAGTGCTGGACTCTAGGGAGATTCCAGAATTTACCCCTGTCCTCAGAAGTTTTCCCTACAGTAGGAGAGACAAGACACAGGAGGTCATAGCAGTCAGAATGATGCAGCCTGGCTCTGGTTGGTTGTCATATAGAGTAACCCTGCCTGAACCCCAGGGGGAGGTATTCTGGTTATCAGATGCTCGGGGTTACTCAGATTCCATATTCAAAGATGGCTAGTTTTCAAACAAATTGAAAACAATCAAATATACTTGTCCACAAAACAGGACTGTCCATCCCTCTGCCTTTTTCCTCACCGTCTGTCTGGCAAGTGAAGATTAACAATAAGCTTTTGTAAGTGCAAAATGTTGAGAGAATTATCACTAAGCCCATGACAGCCAGGGTGATTGCAGTAAATTACCCCTGCAGAAACTGATAAATCACCACATTCGGCAGCCATTATGTTTGGCTTCGGATCTTGGAGAATCTCAACGCCTTCTCTCTTTCTCCCTCTGTCTTTCTGCGAGGTAGTCTGCCTTGTGCTGGATGACATTTATTCATTTTATGCATCTTGGGTTCTGCTGGCTGTCCCGCCTCAGTTCCTATAGCAAAGGCACCAGAGTCTGAGCCACTAATTATCCCCAGCGAGGTTTCCTGCCCAAACAGGAAGTCTCGGGCCAGAACTGCTGTCTCTCAGTGCACTCTCCAACCGAGCAGCAGTCACCACCCCGGCCCTTCCCTGTGGCCAGCTGGAGTGCAGGCTGAAGGGGAGGCAGCCCTCAGCCCTGGCCACAGGTTGGAGATCCATAGGGGAAAGGGGTGGCCCAGCTTGCCGTGGGGCTGCCAGGAGCTCCAGAGCTCCAGACCCTCTCATCCAGATGTCGCACCTGCCTGTTGTTGGTAAGTCCTGTTAGGGTACCCATCCTGGGGGGAGGTGGCGTGTGGAGGGGTGGGCTCCCTCCTCGCCGGCCAGTCCCCTGGCCTGCTGCACTGTGCCCTTCGCATCTCTAGGGAGTCCAGATAATTGGATTCCTCTTGAAGGACTGGAACTGGCAGCAAAGAGCACAGTCTAATAGGATCCCAAAATAAAGTGGGAGATCATCTTGTGTGCACCTCTTTTGAGGGATGGGCGTCTAGATGATTGTCAGGAGCGCTTTCAAAGTAAAGGGTTCAAGTATTTATCGCACAGGGAGCCTGCAGGTAGCGAGAGCAACAGCTCTGTGAGTTCGGGTGTGTTGCTTAAAAAAAAAAAAAAAAGTTGATGTTTTCGACGCATTTCTTTAGAATAAAGGCCCATTGGGAATTATAAATTTTACTTCTTGGTATCCATTTGTGTGTTGGTTTATCACGGAATTGCTGCTGCAAGTAATCGAACCGGATTTTTCTAGCATGATTTGCAAATCTCGATGTTTGTAAAAAGCCCTATCAATTATTCATTCACTTTTATTTTGCAAAGTGGTGTGGGGATAAAAAAAAAAATCTGTTTTCTCTCAGACTGAAGGTGCACGTATGTGGACATGTGGACTGGCCTGCGTGCCCGCCTGAGCTTTCTGTCTTCTCTCTGGTTGGAACATATCCGCCTTCCTTTTAAAAATATGATGATTTTTTTATGATGTCTAAATAACGATTCCAGGCAGTATTACAAGAAATATAACAGTAAAATGTTTGTAAGAGTCCCTCAGAAAGGGAAAAATGCCCACAGAGAAAATAGAAACGCACTGATGAACTGAATGTTGCTATTGCTGGCTTTTAAACCCCGGTTTGAGACTGGCATTTCCTGTCGCCTCTCCCCTCCTGTCAACTGTGGGAGGTTGGGGGTCCTGTGAGGAGAGGGACCTGGAGCACTGGACTCCTAATCCTGAGAAGGTCCAGGAAGGACAGCCTGGGGCCGTGCTGCCGTGGTCCAGGGTCTGGGATAGAGGCCAGCTCCAGGTTTGCAAGTTCGGTCTTGAACGTGAGGCTGAGCGTTTTAAGCAGCTCAGTGAGGGGAAGGGAGAAGGACAGGAAGAGAGCAGACCTGAGCCTCATGCTGACCAGGTGACCCAATGTGACGCCCACTTAAGGACCTGCCTGCCACCCTTACCAACACAGAAGCAGCCTGAAGCATCATGGGATGAGGGTGCAGTACGTCCAGGCCAGGCAGGAGCCAACTGGGACCTGGAGGAAGTCCCTTAACCTGTTTGAGCCTCTGTTTTGAGATCTGCAAAGTGGAAGTAATGATAGGTTTCCGCAGGTCACACCCGCAAGCCCACAGCCACCGTCCTGATCTTCCCATGGGTGAGTCTGGCCTCGCCCTGTAGCCACTTCTGGCTTTTGACTCCTGGCACTGTGATTGATGTTCCTGTGCCAGGCACTTGCGGGGTGCTGCGATGTGCCTGCCCACTGCCTCTGTGTCCCAGGGGAAATCCTGGGTTACCACACAAGGGCAATCATGTGTCAGAAGCATGCAACTAGGAGACTTCCCTAAGACTTGCTTCTATTTGCATAGCAAGTGCCCTAATTTTTACTTACATTGTATAGACGGTCCCCAACCTACAATGGATGGTTTGATTTAGGATTTCTTGGCTTTACAGTGGGCTGAAAGCAATGCATATTCAGTAGAAATTGCACACTTCATATTTTAGATTCGGATCTTTTCCCAGGCTAGCAGTAAGCAAGTTACAATGTTTTCAATTTTTGATATTTTCAACTTATAATGGGCTTATTGGATGTCACCCCATCATTAAGTCAAGGAACTTGGGTATGTTTCAGTCAATAAAATGAGAGAAACTTTCTAGAAGCTATGATTCATCTTACCTGACTGGGGAAATGTGAATTATTCATATCAAAGGGCATTAGGTCTAATATTCACATTGGCATATGGGAGGGTTGACAGAGATTATGGGGGTAGGGGTAGGGCCCCCCCATCACCTTCTTGGACCGTTAAAGGAAGGTATCTGGCTTTATCCTGTCACCTGTGTGCAGAAAGCCAAGAGGGGGCAGAGGGGAGATCGATTCTGTCTTAAAGAAGAGTCAGGCCTTCCTATTGGAACTTGAGCTTCATTAATTGGAGAGAAGGGACTTCGCAGGGAAAAAGAATAAGTCAGAGAAAAA